TTGTACGAAAATGGTTACAGCAATATCCTATTGGAACATGGTCAATTGAATTACACGGGAGTAATGGAATCTGATGCGGACGAAATATCAAACCCGTTCACAAAACTTTTGAAAAGGGTACGTATACTATTTGAAAGTAAGGTGTAATTCACATGTTTAGCCACATGACAGACCTGAGGTATTACAAAGTATAGAACAATGGAGAGTTAATTGTTCAATTATTAGCGTATAGTAATAGAAACGACATGGGGTAATCTGAAGCACGAGAAAGTAATTTTGCTGACGTTAAAGGGCATTATGATTTAAGTGAATAGAAAAAAATCACCCTTGAGCATATTTCCATATATACATTGAAGCTCTTTTGAAAGACTAAATGCGTCCAGGCTGATTCGGTGACTATCTCAATGTCCCCTCATTGTAGGGAACACTTGAAAAATCAACATGGGTCTGTTGTCTCAATTACAATAATTGGAATCGCAATCTTTTCTTTTTCTTTTCTCCTGCATATTTTTATTTACTTATTAATCAACATCTCCACCATCCCAACTTTCCACACCAACACAAATATCGCCCGCACCAATAAAGCTAATTCCATGAAAGCAACTTTTATAATCTGCTGTTTTTCTTGTTGAGGGGTTGTTATAATAAGAAAAAAAGAAAAGAAAACGTAATATATTTTTCACATTCAAATTGTATTGGTTAAGACATGTAAACATGCACTTCTAATTGGTTAATGTACATCAAACATGCAAACTAAGTCCTTTTGAAGGTTATAAATATCCACAAATATCTAACCCCCACCAACCCCCACAACCAATATCTAGCCCCAACCACCAATATATAACCCCCGCCAGCCCCCAACACCAATATCTAACCCCCAACCACCAAAATCTAACCCCCACCAACCTCCACCACCAATATCTAGTCCCCACCAACCCCCACCACCAATATCTAACCCCCAACCACCAATATCTAACCCCAACCAACCCCCACCACCAATATCTAACCCCCACCAACCCCCACCACCAATATCTACCCCCACCAACCACCACCACCAAAATCTAACCCCCACCAACCCCCCCAACCAATATCTAGCCCTAACCACCAATATATAACGTTAAGACATGTAAACATGCACTTCTAATTGGTTAATGTACTTCAAACATGCAAACTAAGTACTTTGGAAGGTTATAAATATCCACAAATATCTAACCCCCACCAACCCCCACCATCAATATCTCCCCCCACCACCCACCACCACCAAAATCTAACCCCCACCAACCCCCCCAACCAATATCTAGCCCCAACCACCAATATATAACCCCCGCCAACCCCCAACACCAATATCTAACCCCCACCAACCCCCACCACCAATATCTACCCCCACCAACCACCACCACCAAAATCTAACCCCCACCAACCCCCACCACCAATATCTACCCCCACCAACCACCACCACCAAAATCTACCCCCCCCCAACCTCCACCACCAATATCTAGTCCCCACCAACCCCCACCACCAGTAACAATGAAGTGTATCCGTTAACACTACCATTGTACAATTATTGAAAGAAAACGACAAGGAGATGCAAAAAAATAAAAGAAAACGTAATATATTTTTCACATTCAAATTGTATTGGTTAAGACATGTAAACATGCACTTCTAATTGGTTAATTTACATCAAACATGCAAACTAAGTCCTTTTGAAGGTTATAAATATCCACAAATATCTACCCCCCACCAACCCCCACCATCAATATCTACCCCCACCAACCACCACCACCAAAATCTAACCCCCACCACCCCCCACAACCAATATCTAGCCCTAACCACCAATATATAACGTTAAGACATGTAAACATGCACTTCTAATTGGTTAATGTACATCAAACATGCAAACTAAGTCCTTTTGAAGGTTATAAATATCCACAAATATCTAACCCCCACCAACCCCCACCATCAATATCTACCCCCACCAACCACCACCACCAAAATCTAACCCCCACCAACCCCCACAACCAATATCTAGCCCTAACCACCAATATATAACCCCCGCCAACCCCCACCACCAATATCTAACCCCCACCAACCCCCACCACCAATATCTACCCCCACCAACCACCACCACCAAAATCTAACCCCCACCAACCCCCCCACCCAATATCTAGCCCTAACCACCAATATATAACCCCCGCCAACCCCCCCCACCAATATCTAACCCCCACCACCAATATCTAACCCCCACCGACCCCCACCACCAAAATATAACCCCAACCACCAATATATAACCCCCGCCAACCCCCACCACCAATATCTAACCCATGTACTTCAAACATGCAAACTAAGTCCTTTTGAAGGTTATAAATATCCACAAATATCTAACCCCCCCCAACCCCCACCATCAATATCTACCCCCACCCACCACCACCACCAAAATCTAACCCCCACCAACCCCCCCAACCAATATCTAGCCCTAACCACCAATATATAACCCCCGCCAACCCCCCCCACCAATATCTAACCCCCACCACCAATATCTACCCCCCACCAACCCCGTCCACCAATATCTAACCCCCACCAACCCCACCACCAAAATCCAGCCTCCACCACCAATATCTAACCCCCACCACCCATATCTTACCCCCACCAACCCCCACCATCAATATCTCCCCCCACCACCCACCACCACCAAAATCTAACCCCCACCAACCCCCCCAACCAATATCTAGCCCCAACCACCAATATATAACCCCCGCCAACCCCCACCACCAATATCTACCCCCCACCACCAATATCTAACCCCCACCACCCATATCTTACCCCCACCAACCCCCACCATCAATATCTACCCCCCCCAACCACCACCACCAAAATCTAACCCCCCCCAACCCCCACAACCAATATCTAACCCTAACCACCAATATATAACCCCCGCCAACCCCCACCACCAATATCTAACCCATGTACTTCAAACATGCAAACTAAGTCCTTTTGAAGGTTATAAATATCCACAAATATCTAACCCCCACCAACCCCCACCATCAATATCTCCCCCCACCACCCACCACCACCAAAATCTAACCCCCACCAACCCCCCCAACCAATATCTAGCCCTAACCACCAATATATACCCCCCGCCAACCCCCACCACCAATATCTAACCCATGTACTTCAACCATGCAAACTAAGTCCTTTTGAAGGTTATAAATATCCACAAATATCTACCCCCCACCAACCCCCACCATCAATATCTACCCCCACCCACCACCACCACCAAAATCTAACCCCCACCAACCCCCCCAACCAATATCTAGCCCTAACCACCAATATATAACCCCCGCCAACCCCCACCACCAATATCTAACCCATGTACTTCAACCATGCAAACTAAGTCCTTTTGAAGGTTATAAATATCCACAAATATCTAACCCCCACCAACCCCCACCATCAATATCTCCCCCCACCACCCACCACCACCAAAATCTAACCCCCACCAACCCCCCCACCCAATATCTAGCCCTAACCACCAATATATAACGTTAAGACATGTAAACATGCACTTCTAATTGGTTAATGTACATCAAACATGCAAACTAAGTCCTTTTGAAGGTTATAAATATCCACAAATATCTACCCCCCACCAACCCCCACCATCAATATCTACCCCCCCCAACCACCACCACCAATATCTAACCCCCACCAACCCCCCCCACCAATATCTAACCCCCACCACCAATATCTAACCCCCCCCAACCCCGTCCACCAATATCTAACCCCACCAACCCCACCACCAATATCTAACCCCCACCAACCCCCCCCACCAATATCTAACCCCCACCACCAATATCTAATCCCCACCAACCCCACCACCAATATCTAACCCCAACCGACCCCCACCACCAATATCTAACCCCCACCGACCCCCACCACCAAAATATAACCCCAACCACCAATATATAACCCCCGCCAACCCCCCCCACCAATATCTAACCCCCACCACCAATATCTAACCCCCCCCAACCCCGTCCACCAATATCTAACCCCACCAACCCCACCACCAATATCTAACCCCCACCAACCCCGTCCACCAATATCTAACCCCCACCAACCCCACCACCAAAATCCAGCCTCCACCACCAATATCTAACCCCCACCACCCATATCTTACCCCCACCAACCCCCACCATCAATATCTCCCCCCACCACCCACCACCACCAAAATCTAACCCCCACCACCCCCCACAACCAATATCTAGCCCTAACCACCAATATATAACCCCCGCCAACCCCCACCACCAATATCTAACCCATGTACTTCAACCATGCAAACTAAGTCCTTTTGAAGGTTATAAATATCCACAAATATCTAACCCCCACCAACCCCCACCATCAATATCTCCCCCCACCACCCACCACCACCAAAATCTAACCCCCACCAACCCCCCCACCCAATATCTAGCCCTAACCACCAATATATACCCCCCGCCAACCCCCACCACCAATATCTAACCCCCACCGACCCCCACCACCAATATCTAACCCCCACCGACCCCCACCACCAAAATATAACCCCAACCACCAATATATAACCCCCGCCAACCCCCCCCACCAATATCTAACCCCCACCACCAATATCTACCCCCCACCAACCCCCACCACCAATATCTACCCCCACCAACCACCACCACCAAAATCTACCCCCCACCAACCTCCACCACCAATATCTAGTCCCCACCAACCCCCACCACCAGTAACAATGAAGTGTATCCGTTAACACTACTATTGTACAATTATTGAAAGAAAACGACAAGGAGATGCAAAAAAATATTAACATTATTGTTTTTTTACAGATGTTTTAACATTTTAATCAAACCTGTCGATTAAATGTTAAAATTCTTTTATTTATCATCTTTATGCAGAAACCACCCGTCTTTCTTCCTGGCTTTAAAAATCCCTGCTGGTATGATGATGATGATGATAGAAGGCCAGAATGGACAGAAATGTTGTGCAATACAACGAAGGGTAACACAGGGAGACTCTGTAAACTTTACTTCGGACGAGAAAGACCTGAAAATACATCATTACTTCGATGTCTTCCATATTTTATGCTGATTGGTCAACCAAAAAGCGGAAGTACTGATCTGTTCAAACGCATTATGCAGCATCCTGATGTGCAGCAAGGCATTTCGAAGGAGCCACAATATTGGGCAAGAAGTCGTCACTGTTCCTGTAAGTAAAGCAATAGGCAAAACACTGTTGAACATCCTTAATATATACCTGGTGGCGCTAGAGTTTGAATTAAAATAGGAAACGAACAAGTAAGGTTCGAAATATATCAATGTTTAAAGACCATCGGATAATGTTTCCACAATGCTTGTTATGTATTAGGAAACAAAATGGTTCTTTTGTACCATAAACTGTTGGCAGATGAAAACTCCCGTAAACCTTCTAATTGACTTTCTAGGTGGCCTATAAACATATCCTCCCCGGAATTCAAGGAGTAACAAACTCTTATGTCCTCTGCACACCTTTAAAATATCAAGACGAAATCAAAGGCTTTGTAACCACCACAGTGTTGGCGATAGATGTAGACTAATTTGATGATAAAATAATTACGCCGCGGTGTAATTGTAAAATAGACAAGCTCTGAGGTCGTGCGTGGTTTCTTTGTGAACTTTAAAGGATAGGTATCTGCCTAGCGAATCAAGTCTAGTGCATTCGAGAGGTGCAGAGAACGAATATACTGAATAGCGAATCAAGTCTAGTGCATTCGAGAGGTGCAGAGAACGAATATACTGAATAGCGAATCAAGTCTAGTACATTCGAGAGGTGCAGAGAACGAATATACTGAATGCTCATTTTCTTTACATAAAGAGTACAGAGACAAAGGAGCCCCAAAGGAGGGGAATGTATTCGGATAATGTTAATCCAATTATCAATATTCTTTCTAAGTTCATGATAAAACTATTCAAATCACCTCAGCAGTAAATAGTAATCATTATTAGTTAGTTTTGCACATGCCAATACTCAAATGAACAAATCGTTGCTGGCATCTCGGCATTGTATAAGGGACAAGTAGATGTATGTATTTATTACCGGTAAGATCGATGCAAATGGTCACGGGACTACACTCTTAAGGACTTCCCAGCCTTCTTAATTCACATGTTTGTCTTGTCGTATTTTCGTGTCGTCATTTCCGTATTGCGTATTGGGCATTTTAATATCTTAGTTTAAATTATAGTAACACTGGGTAAACAAGAGTACACGTGCGTGACGATGATATATGTCAACACCCGATATCGAGACTTCACTGGGGACGGAATGCATTATTGAATTTGATATACAGTTTGGTGTGGCAGCCATATTGGAATGACCTTAAGTATTAAGCTTCCGATACAATCACTATATTGGAGGAGATTTTTTGTGTGTGACAGGAATTGTTTAATGCTAACAGAATGAATGATTAAATTTGATATACAGTTTGGTGTGGCAGCCATATTGGGATGACCTTAAGAAATTAAGCTCCAGATACAAACACTATATTGAAACATGGGGAGACACTGACATGATACTAGACGACTTCGAGAAGGTCATATATGAAGCGCATGGGATGCGAACTGATGTGTTTAGTGTACCTACCTCACATGCACGTATCACGTGCTTTCACTAGCTCGAGGTCGTTACGATTTTTGCTGTCGAGCGAGTTACGCTCTGTCGAGTAAACTATGTTTACATATGCAGTTCACTTACTGTGAAAAGTGTTTTGTAAAATATCCTGAGAACGGCTACCATGCGATAGCCCCTGGTAACATATGTACGTAAGATGCAGATATACAATGCGCTAGCGGGCTGTGGAATGCCGTCCAAAGTTTACATACTTGAGAGTAGTTTGGTTCCATAAAAGAACAATACATTGAATTTGTTTATGTAATTTTTCAACTTATTTCTATCATTTTTATTTACATGTTTGTAAACAGAGATAACTGTCATTGCGTAATTTGTATCCATCTACAAAAAGTTCCGATTTCCCCCCCC